CTGGCATTCAGAATAATCCCACGTAAAGCAGTCTTTGAATTCATGCAGTAGATGGATTATTTCATCTTGTAGCTTTGGTGACAGTAAGCCACTGACAAAGTAATGCCTGGCTCTGCCTTCGTTCACAAATTAACTTCCTTTAATGAATCTAGTACATTGGCCTTTAAGTCATCCAACTTTGCAAGGGCAAAATCTAACTCCTCCATTGTGACTCCATCAGCATAAGTGTCCTTCTCGCTTTCATGTACCATCTCCGACAAATTTGATTTTGTATTTTTTTTCAACAAATAGGTTGCTGACTTCTTGAGGATTTCAAATATGACCTCCCTTTTTTCTTTGTTTATCCTAGACTTCTTTATAACAACTCTTCAATTTTGGGCTCCACTTGCAACCTATATAAAATAGTGGCAATAAGCCAGAGGAGTTCATTACATACCTCATCAATCACATGTTTAGCTAAGGTAAAATTGTTATAACTAGTGATTCAGTGAGGTTTTCCTTGTTTATCCATGCTAGAGAAATGAATTGTACCTATATCTTCATCATAGTATTGTGTTTCCGCCCTATTGGAATTGGCTAGGAATGGTTTACTATTAGCATGAACCACCTCAGTTTTGCATCAATTCTAAAAAAAGAGTCTCTGATGGAGAGTAGATGGAACACACCAATTTGAATGGATACAATCATGTCCCAATAATGCATTACAAGTAGCAGAAGAGTCTACAACAAAAAAAGCACTCATTGATGTTTTGCTATCAACAATTAGTGCAATCGACAATACTACCTTTGATTTATTAACACCACCTATGAAATCACTGATGGTTACGTTAGTATAAACCAAGTCCTTAAAATTTTTAACTAAATTCTTCAACATAAAAGAAGGTATAACATTGACTGCTGCTCCATTGTCAATAAGGAGTCAATTCACTAGAACTTGATCCATGTGAGTAGAAATGTAGAGTAGCTTTATGTGATGTGCCACACTCTCATCTAGTTTGTCAAAAGTAATCTGTTTTGAAAGGGTATTATGCTCTTCCTTTTCTTCTTGAACTGGAACCTCTATCCTTGCTTCCTTAACAATCATGCTGCCCTTGGAAGCACAACTAAAAACATGAGTATCCTTGCTGCCTTTGGCTTGAAAAACCAAAGGAAGTGTGAAAACCAAATAAGAGAGATTAACAAAAAAGTCCTTGATTTGAACAATATCCATGTCCGCAAGAAGATCATCGTCAGTGGTCAACTTTTCTTATTGATTTGCCTTAAAAGTTGCCCTCAACTCTTTTTCATTGTAAATCAATGAGGTGAGTTTAGGAGGCGACACAACCAATTGAGATTCATTTTAGATAGCAGCCTCTCAATTCTCCTTTCTCCTTTACACCATCCTTCCCTTTGTAGGAGAACATTGTAGAACCTTAGTTTTCTTAGTAGCTAACTATTGGTGGCGACATGCCTCTCTTCACTTTCACTGCAACCTTTTTCTCAAAGTTCTAAGATTTTTCACAAGTTCTTTTAGAAACTTAAGATGCATAACCTTTTCCCATCTTCTACTTAAAGGTCATTGTAAAGGCTTGACAATATGAGAGCAATTTATATGTCATGCTTCCTTTATCCTAGATCTGAAGGCATAAGTGTAGTAGCACAGCGTTACCCCCTGAGCCTCTAATTTTGTTGGGTACAATGTTCCTTTTCCTTCTCAATCACCTAGCGAAAATCATTTACAACCAAAGTTTTCCCTTTATATGTCTTTTGAGAGACGCTTCTTATGTTAGCAACTTGACCCCAACATCCACATTTGGAAAAGGATGTTCATTAACCTTCATGGCTTCTTTGGGTTTTTTTGGAAAACGAAGCAATCCTTTGTCAATCTTATCCTGCGACACATCTTGAAAAATAATTTAGTCATTAATAGAATGTTTTTCAGAATTATGAAACTTGCAATAATATTTTTATGCAGTTTCAACAATGGTAGAAAACCTATGCCCCCATGGCAGCTCAATATGTCCAAACTTTTTCAATAATTAAAGATATCACTCACTTTAGTCACATCAAATGTGTATTGTTTTCTAGATTCATATGAAAGGCATTTTGTAGCCACTTTAACTTGTTGAGTGACCTTCACAAATTTAGGACAAGTTATTAGCATGTTTGCAAAGACTTTAGCAACATCAAGGTCAAAAGCATCTTGATAATAAGTTCCTTGAGATGCTGCCTTCCTTTGGGATTCCTCCCTTAAGAGATTCTCATAGCGAGCCACCTTGTAAGAGAGCTCAAAGAAGTCTTTGAATTCCATCCCTTTAAACTTCTTTCGAAGTTCAATGTCTAAACCATTCTAAGCAAGCTTCACGAACTCTTGCTCAGGTAAGGCAACATGACATTTCATCTTGGCCTTCCTGAATTGCGCAGCATAATTTTTTGAAGATTCCCTTGGTTGTTAAGTCAATCTAGAAAGATCAACCATAGATATCTTTGGCTCTAAGGGGTAAAATTGAATATGGAACAAATCTTCCATTTGTCTTTAAGTAGACACAGAATTTTGTGGTAAACTAAGGTACCATATTAGTGCAGTACCAATTAAAGAACTTGAGAAGAGCCTTAACTTTAGAAAATCATCACTTGATGCTTCCCCACACTCAACAATGAACCTATCAATGTGTTCAATGGTTGACTAACTTGCATCCCCAAAAAACAAAATTCAGGCACCTTGAATCCACAAAGAAAGGGATTATCCTAATCTATGTAGTCTAAATAAGGCTTATGTTAGGAAGGACAAACTAATGGTCTTAGAGCTAGACCATATGTCTCCTAGACTACTTTAATTAGCTAATTTCTATCCATGGAATATGGTGTTGCTTACATCCCAAATGGTTGAAAGGCATTGTATTGCATATTAGGCTACGAGGCAACATTAGGACACTGTGTAGGAGGTATATATCTTTGTTGGTTGGCTTTCAACTACTCAATTGCATGGAATGTTGCCTCCTCAGGACCTTGTAGTCCAAGGATGCCTCCACCAGGATTCTTTTGTTGCTGTTCATTGAACTGCATCTGGTCAACACCAAGAACATTATTTTGAGCATTAGGTACCTATTGCACCACTTATGGCTGATTAATATGACCCTTGTGCCCACTGGGTAAAGGATTTGAAAGATTTTGTTGTGGCAGTTCTGTTGTTGGAGGTACGGGTTGCCTTGGAACATTTTGCTATTATTGAACCTACTCCATGGTGACTTTTTGCTGCTTCTTCTAGGACTAATAGCAAGAGGTCTCACCATGCATGCCACTAAGCAATTGTTATCCCAAAAAATCTCCTTGACACGTGGTAGATGAAACAACATGCCACTTTCTTTGCTCAAAAAAAAAGAAAAAAAGAAAAAAAGAAAGATTTTCCAATTACTCTTTTTTCCAAGCGTAGAACTTAGTCATGAGTTGATGGAAGAATGCCTTAATGATCAGACAATTGGTAAAAATGAGGAATGAACTTCTTGTACTAAATAGGTTAAATGACAAACTACCTTGGATATGTTTCCAGGGACTCCTCCAAACTAATGTAATTAAGAAAAGCAAAGATTGTAAGAAAAGCAAATGATTGCCAAGCTACTGAAAATCTTAATGAATTTTAAATATGCAAACTGTGTTAAAATAATACTTTTAAAAGGAAATCTAAATATAGTAAAACAAATTAAGCTAAAGCAAATGAAGCTAGAAACACAAAAAGCTCTACTAGTAGCATGAAATATAAATTAACAGAAATAATACAAAATATGAGATTAAATATTGACATCACTTGATTAAATTAAAAGAACTTAGGAAGAAAATAAAGGAAAGGAAGCAATCCAATTATGAAGAACTATTACTAAAGGCAGCGAATCTTACCATTACAAAACCAACAAAAAGGGAATTGAATTGCTTCTTCAGAGAATTGTAACTAATTTCTAAAATTTCTGAAAAGAAAAGACATTAAACTAAGGTTGAAGACTAATTTAGGTTAAAGTGTAGAGGTAAAACTAAACTAAAGGGCCTAAAACTAAGATGAACTTGAGTATTAAAAGAAATAGTGCTAAGCTTGTTGTGTAAGAGGCATGTTTATCTTGCTTGATTTCATCTTCGTTTATTTATAGCAATAGACATCCCTTGATAGCATGTTGAAGATTTGCGATGGGATCTTGAAAGCCAACAACAGTATGAAATTTCAACAAATCAATTAACTTGTTGGTGTTGTCGATTATGCTCTTGAAAATTCGCAACATGCTATCAATTATGCTATTAGAAATTTGCAACAAATGAATGCTTTTGTTGATATTATGGAAACAACCACTGAATTTTATCCATGAGGGATCTACATCAATGAAACAACTTTTTAACAACAAAATACCTACTAATGTGGATGACACATGATACCATTTTATTTATTGTAAAATTACGTGTAAGCAATTAGTTTTAATTATGCTTTTTCTCTTTAATAACATTAAGTGATCATTATATTTTATTTTTTACATTAATTTATTAAAAAATATATTACT